TGAACCTGGAAGGTGGAGGTTGCAGTGAGCTGAGATCATGCCATTACATTCCAGCCTGGGCAAAGAGCAAAACTCTGTCTCAACCAAAAAACAAACAAACAAACAAACAAACAAACAAAAAAAACAGACAAAGAAGTCAGGTATGTACCCAGGACCTAGAGGCAGGGAAAAGCAAGCAATATATTCCAGCTGGGGATGGGGTTCTGGGGCTTCTTAAAAAGGGTAAAAGGCTGAGCACAGTGGCTCATGCCCATAATCCCAGCACTTTAAGAGGCTGAGGCTGGAGCATTGCTTGAGCCCAGGAGTTCAAGACCAGCATGGACAACATAGTGAGACTTCACCTCTAAAAAATCAATGTCTTAAAATTTAAATTTCAAAAAGTGGTAATAAATCATCTGGGTCAAGAGAAGGGACAAGATTTTCTGGGTTGAGAAAGCAGAGGTGTTCCTGGCTGAGAGACTGCCCAGAAGTATAAAAATGCACAGCGTTTTCCAGAAGGTGAAAAGTCTGGCTTCTCCTGGAGCCTAGGTGTGCAAGGGTTAAATTCCTCAGAGCCCAATTAAGAAAATCCTCAGAATCTTACAAACCAGGCTAAGGAGTTTGGACTTTATCTCATGGTGACAGGGAGCCACTAATGGTGGTTAAGTAACAATGGAATCACTAGGATGAGCAAATTATTGAAAGCTGCGTGACCTTCACGGTTGGCAGAGTCATCAGGAACCCTGGCACCGACCCAGCAGCCCACACCCATGCAACTGAGTCAGGGCCCTCCCCGGTGTCTCCACCTCTTCCAGAAATCAGATAACTAAGGCATGCTAGCCTTCTATCCTTCAGGGAAGTCTGTCCTGATTAACGTGGGCACAGTGAGAGCAGACAGGCCAGTCCACATGCCGTGGTTTTGTGTACCAGCAGTCGAAGCACCAAGGAGCACGCAGAGTGGGGCTCAGCTAAGCTGCAAACCCCATTGCCATGGGGCATCAGACACCACTGAGCTGAACTCACTCCCCTTGCCCCTGCCACTAGGAAGTCACTTCCCCAGCCCCGACCCGCCTGTGGAGTGCCAGAGCCAGCTCCCACAGGTTCTTGAGAGCCAATTGGTAAATTTTCAAGAATTCTGCGGGCTGGTTGTTAAATACGGCCACTAAAAATTAGACTACATAAGCTGGCAATTGAATAAATTATTTAAAACAGAGGTAATAAATATGCAAAATTCAGCACGTCCTGATTATTGACTGTACTATTATCTATGCCTGTTGTATCTGTATAGTGGAGATTCAGTACAGTGGTGTGCTACTGCATGTCTCCACGTTTAGTGACATCACTTTGGTAGCTTAGAATCAGTCATAGCAAGGCTGGGCGAGGTGGCTCATGCCTGTAATCCCAGCACTTTGGGATTGGGAGGCCAAGGCGGGTGGATCACATGAGGCCAGTTTAAGACCAGGCTGGCCAACATGGTAAAACCCCATCTCTACCAAAAATACAAAAATTAGCTGGGCGTGGTGGTGGGTGCCTATAATCCCAGCTACTCAGGAGGCCGAGGCAGGAAAATCACTTGAACCCGGGAGGTGGAGGTTGAAGTGAGCTGAGATTACACCATTGCACTCCAACCTAGGCAACACAGCAAGATTCCATCTCAAAAAAAAAAAAAAAAAAAAAAGAAGAATCAGTCTTAGTAAGAGCGTTCACACCACAGAAATTGGCAAATGCTACAAATCAGAGCTTTTTCTGCAGAGAGCCAGTGGTCACACACCTGCCAGCCTGCTCCTCCTCTTCACTCTGTCTTGCTGACTCTCCATGGAAGTCCCCCAGCCCTTCTAAGCCTGTCCTCTCCCCTCTAGGAGTCCCAGCAGCACAACTGATCCTGTCTGATTAGAGCTGTCAGATGGGCTTCAGGAAGTCATGGGGACCTTACCAGGAGCCCTGAGCATCTGCCCCATTGCATTTACTTACTGCTGTTCGGGGTTATCTGGGTGATTCTTTGTGCTGCCCAAAGCTACCACACAGGGCCTCACACACTGCATGGGCTCCCAGGGAGTACAGCAGTGTGAATGGAAGGAGGTGCTGGCCTGATCCCAGGGGCAGGGAATTAAAGAGAGCCCTTGCCTCCATCAAACTAACAAAGTCCCAGCAACCTCATGGTCCAGGTGAGGCATCTCTCTAAGTTCCTGAAGGTCATTACATAGCCACGTACCCTCTAGGAATAACTCATATATGAGAAAAAGAACATGCAAGTAGATATCTGGAGGCAGCAACAGGCCTTCTGTCTAAACAATACAACAAATTAAAAAGGCAGCCCGTCGAATTGGAGCCTAGAGAACCAGCACAAGAAAATGCTGGCACTCTAGCTGCTGCCACGGCTGTGAGGAATCCTTTGCAGGGGGAGGGCGGGTAGCCCTATCTATGAATGGCTGAGACTTACTTTGCCTGAATCTTATCAATTCTTGGGAATATCTTCATGGCCTTAGAGTTGATAAAGGAGAGATTTCTTAAACCGGACATAAGGAAAAACACTAAAGGAGGACACTAAAGGAAAAGGTTGGGAAAACGACTTCATTAAAGTTTAAAATATCTCTTCATTAGAGGACACCAATGACAGAATAAAAGGCAACACAGACTGAGAAAAGAAATCTGTAATACACCAAACTGACATAGGACCCATATCCAGAGTATGTAAAGAACTACAAATCAGTAGGAAACAGATAGACCACCCCCATTAAAAACTGACAAAACATGTGAACAGGCACTTCATGAAAAAAGATACCTAGATGGCCCAATTAGCCTATGCAATGGTATGCAGCTACTGGTCATCAGGGAAGTTAAAATAAGGCACAATGAACTATCACTATACACCCACAAGACTGGGCAGAACTTTAAAAACAGAATGACAAATGTTAGGAGGCAAAGCAACCGAAACCCAAAGGGAGCGTCAACTGGTACTACCACTCTGGAAAACAATTTGGCACTATCTGCTAAAGCCAAACACATCTATCCTAGTGCCAAGAAGTTCCCGGCAGTGAGTGCATTCGTTTGTGAAGAGCATGTGCTAGAATCTGCATCACAGCTCTATTCATGACAGCCCCAAACTAGAGACAACACAAACATCCATCAGTAGTAGATTGGAGCACACTCACTCCACAACTACACAACACACTAGAACATGAATGAACCCCGCAAACAACTAAATCCAGGCACGAAAAAATGTACATCCCATCGATTCCATTTTCATCAAGGTCAAAACTAACGCATGGAGATAGACACAAGAATGGAAGTTTCCTTTGGGGAGGAGGTAATGGGTAAGAAAAACATTTATCTAGAATCTGAAGTTTAAAAAATTAAAGTAGTTTCTACTGCTGTGCTGGCTTTTTTTCTGCTTTGCTTTTTCAAGGTAGGAAGTTCCAAGGCAGGTAATATGTCTGAGGAAGCCTCCACCTCCGTCACCCTGCCCACCCTTGTCCGCTGTGACCAGGTAGGCAGGAACTCCAGGGACAGCCCAACTAGGAGCTGTCCTAGAGCGCTGATTTCATTTTGTCTTCAAGGAGGATTTTCACTAGCAACTCTGCGTTCATCTCTTTTAAATTTTATTATTATTAATATCTGGCATTTTCTTGTCTCTTACAAGGTACCAGGCACTGTTCAAAGCCTGGCATTAGTATTAATGTGTTGCCCATTCATTCAGCCTGCTGCAGACTTGATAATGGCATCTTTATTGAGAACTTACTCTGTGCCAGGTAGTAAGCTATTCCCAATTAATTCTCACATGAGCCCTTCCTTGCCGAGTAGGAGAGAGGGGAAGATACCTGTTGGCGTTGCAGAGGAGTACGCAGAGACTCAGAGAAGTCCAAGTGCCTTGTCCAAGTTCACACAGCTAAGTCAGTAACAGAGTTAGGATACAAACCCAGATCCCACATGATTGCAAAGCACCAAGTTCTGTCGTGTCGGGTGATCACCCCCAAGCAAATTACATTGTAAGACTGGCAGAAATAACGAGGTTTCTTAGTTCCCCACCCTGGCCTAATGAATCAAAATTTCTGGGCCCTAGGCTGGTGCGAGCAGTCCAGTCCTCCACAGGGGTTCAAAACCCAGCAGGCGCACAGGGCCAAGCTGTCGGGTTGATGGAGGGAGTGGGACTGCCAGGAAGGGCCTTCACTTCCTTCTGGTACCTGACAAATGTTATGTCCCCTCCTCCGAGAAGCCCTCCCTAGCCATCCCTGACTGCCCCTCCTCCCGCCGGAACTGCTCACCCCTTTACTTTGCCTTAGTTGTCTTCCTAGTGTCTCCCTCGTGTCTTATATGTGGGATAGGTTGAACCATATGACATTGTCCTTTTTTTTTTTTTTTTGAGACTGAGTCTCACTCCGTCAACTAGGCTGGAGTGCAGTGGCACTATCTCGGCTCACTGCAACCTCCGCCTTCCGGGTTCAAGCGATTCCCCTCCTTCAGCCTCCCCAGTAGCTGGGATTACAGGCGCCCGCCACCACGCCCAGCTAATTTTTGTATTTGTAGTAAAGACGGGGTTTCACCATGTTGGCCAGGATGGTCTCGAACTCCTGACTTTGTGATCCACCCGCCTCGGCCTCCCAAAGTGCTGGGATTACAGGCGTAAGCCACCGCACCCGGCAGACATTGTCCTTTCTATAAATAAACAGTGGTTGGAAATGGGGCATTTCATGCAGTCCAATTTAAGTGTTTTCCTCTACCAGAATGTCAGCTCCAAGAGGCAGCCGGGATGTTGTTCACAGCCGAGTCCCCAGACAATGCCTGGTACACAGTAGGCGCTTGATAAATGACAGGTGAGTGGCCGAGGGAAAGCGCCCACTCCGAGGAGCTCCGCAGCCACGGGAAAGGCCCCGCCGAGCCGGAGGACCCCGGGGGACGCCGCCCTGTGCGCTGCAATCTCGGGCGCCTTCCCGTCCGCGAGGGCCGGGCGGGGTGGGGCTCGCCGTCATCCATTTACCAGCCTCGCCTCTCCAACGGGCGCGCCGTTAATGAGATTAGCAATTTAAAACCCGGCTAGCTGCGTTGGCGGCGGAGGCGCGCGGGGCCACCCCAAGGCCGAGCCGGGGCGGGACGGAGCGCCTGGTAACCGCGCACTGAGACCGCCGAGCCGGACGCCCGAGCCGGAGCCGAGCGCGCCGAGGCCGGGACCATGGAGAAAGCGCGGCCGCTGTGGGCCAACCCGCTGCAGTTCGTGTTCGCCTGCATCTCGTACGCCGTGGGTCTGGGCAACGTGTGGCGCTTCCCCTACCTGTGCCAGATGTACGGCGGAGGTGAGTGCGCGCCGCGCACCGGCCCCGGCTACTGCCCCGCTCTGCGCGCGTGCCCGCGGGCGCTTTCCGTGCAAAGCGGCGTTGGGTCGGTGCGCACCGGGGTTGGACCCAAGTTACAGAACGACACAGTGAGGCTGGGAGAGCGAGCGTGATCTGTCCGAAGCCACAGACCCGGGAGTGTTCCCAGGACACCTCGTTCCGGGCCGGAGCTGTCCCCCAAGCCGCCCTCTTAAGCCCTCGGCAACCCCTCGCCCCATCCCGGGGTCGGCCGTGTCCCCACCCCGCACCCCCGTTGGCCCGGCTGCGGCTCTGAGAGCGCAGGGGACGCTGTCTCCTCCCTCGGGAGAACTGGCAATGGTTTGACTTCTTAGTGGGTAAACCTTACATTTAGGTGTAAAAAGTGAGTAGGAAATTGTCTTGTTCAACAGAAACTCGTTATAGAACTTTCAGGTCCGAAACTTCAATCAGCACGGATTGAAAGGTTAAGAGGATCTTGAGGCGTTTCTTTAAATTTTTTATAAGGAGATTGATTTGTGTTGGGAATGACAGAAAGCAGGAAAGGCAAATCATTCTATGTTTTGTTTTGTTTTTCTTAAATAAATGTTTCCTGTGAGGCATCCTGCACGCTGCGGGGCCAGCCAGCCAGACACGCGCTCTTACTGCACGCTCCTAGCGTTGCGGAAAGCTGGGAACACTTTCTACACTTGCCAAAGAACCTCGTGAAACCCAAGTACCTTTCTGGAAGGCAATGTGGCAAGAGGAATTTAAGTCTCAGGATTTAAAACATTTTTTTTTTCTCGGTTGTCTCATTTCTAGAGGTGTATCTAAAGGAAATGGTCAGAGTTCTGACAGAGGCAGAAGGATGGTCACCAACATTTAATAAGAGCAAAACATTGGCAACTTCCTAAGCCCTCACACAAAGGGAAATGGTAATTATAGAGCATCCGTTCAGTGGGGTTCTTCACACCCATTAAAGTGGCATTTTCCAAAAAAATGGTATTTTCTCATATCCTATATTAAGTGGAGAAGTCAGATTCGAAGCTATATAAAATGGGTTTGACACTTTAAAACAATTGCGTAAAATATGCAGAGAAAAGAATGGGAAAAAGACATCAAATTGTTAATATTTCTGGGTGATTTTTGTTTATTTGTCGTGTGTGTGTGAGTTTGTGTGTGTGTCTGTGTGTGTGTGTGTGTATTAGGACTTCTATAATCATCATATTTTTTTCACCACAAAAGATTATGAAAGATGTTAAACCAAAGTATTTACAAAAATGGACCCATTTAAGAAGACCAAGCCCTAAACACTGCTCCCTTCTCCCCTCACCCCTACTGGCTCAAAACCAAATCAACAAAAGATTAATTCACAGAGTTTTTAAAATAGTGCATTCTTAATTTCCGGATTCCTGTTTTAAATTTGAAGTGCATAAATACACCGTAATTATGTGAAGGGCGTATGTTGCCATATGCTCTAAGAGCATTGCCATGTGCTCTAACAGCTTTATAACTGACTCTTAAAAAGAATTATTTGTCAGAATGAGATTTCCACATCATTCTGTGCTCAGTAGACCTACCCATGACACCTTTAGCCTGGGTACATGTTTCCCAGTCATCAGGCCCAGGCGAGTGCACTGTCACATGATTGCTTAATTCCTTGTTTATAACACCACCATCACCTGAATAGTCTGCACAGGGATGCAGGTGGGGCCGATAGTTCTGGAGTTGAATATGTATCAAGAGGTTGCTAGGGAAACCTTAAGACCCTCAGGTTCCAAGAAAAAAGAAACAAGAAGAAATCCTGTGCCTGGTGCCTAGGATACTTGGGCTGGGTGGGTGGGTAGATAGATGGGTGGAAGTCGGGCAGAGGATGGATCGGTGTCTGGGTGTATGCACGGATTAGTGGGTGCATAGACAAAAGGAGGGTGTGGATCTTGTGGGTGGTGCCCTCTCAGCCCTGTGTCTGCAGAATAAAGACCAAACAGTCCACCTGGCAGAGTAGGCACTTGACCACCTAACTTGGCTAGTCGTCCAGTATTTCCTGCCGCACAGCTTCAAACCTCCCCCTGCCTTCCGAATACTTTCATGAGGACCTCCTCCTGTGCCCCATCCCTTTCCACAAGCTATTTCCTCCACCTGAGATGCTGCTGTTGCTGGGAAAACTCCCACCATTCCCTCAAGGCCAGGCCAAATGTGCCTTCTCTCCGTTGCGCTCTCCGACTCTCCTCACTACCTCACAGGCCAGGCAAACATTGAGAAAATCTGCTCATTGTTCTCCAGGTTCTCTGTGTCGCCACAGCCCAACCTCTGTGATGTGATGGAGTCTCGGAAGCCATCCAATAAATAGTCAGTGAGTGAATGAACAAGGTCTTAAGAAAAACCACAGAAGAAGTGATGCCAGAGGATGCTAGAGGCTTTCCCAAACCTTTCACTGCACAGTAAAGTCACCTTTAAGAAGTGATTTGTGTTGCGCCAAGCCCAGGCAGTTTATAGACCCATCCCTTACCGGAAGGTAAAAATCAACCACATTATGAAAGGCTGCAGAAGGCTGTATAACTTCCTTGTAAGCAGAACCGCCAATATCCCCAGGAAACAAAGAACTTGTTTATAAACTGCAGAGCCAGGGTGTGCCAAAATACTTCCCAGAATAAGACGGATTAGGGGTCTGTGCCCCTCTCTGTGGGATTCTGCCTCTGACTGGAGAGGCTTGTTTTCTTCCTGCTACCCAGGCCAGGCCCGGCACGAGGAATGTTAATTCTGAAGATTACATTCCAGGTACTGATCGTCTCTGCACAGCCCTGCGTGCTTGTGCTGGGAAAGTAAATGAAAGGCAGCTGCAAGAACTTCACAAAATCTCTTTTTGAAAAAGTCAGCAGGTCTTGGGCAACCATGTCAAAATCTAAGGCAGTCGTTGTTCAGGAAGAAATGGGGGATGCAAAAAGCGAATCCACTAACAATGTATTTTATATAAACATATGCATGGAAGAAACATGGAGAACAGTTGTGTGGCTGGTGGAAATACAGATTTTTTTTTTTTCTCTTAAATTTTCTCACAGTGACACTCTCAGTCCGGAACGCTCCATGTCCCTGCAAAGGCCCTGCCCTCTGGGACAGGAAGCCAGCTCTTTCAGCTGCCTGCACTGCTTACCCCAAATTGCTTAGAGCATTGCACGTCGAACTGTAGCCTACCTGAGAAGCTTCATAAACTGCAGGTTGCTAGACACCACTCCCAGGGATTCTGATCCAGACGCCTGTGGGGAGGACAGGATTGTCCATTTCTAGAAAGCTCCCTAGCAAGGCTAAGGCTTGGTCCATGAACCGCATTTCAGGGAAGGGTCAGGGTTGCTTATGTGGCCCCAGGCCCAGCAGTGGGCTGCCAGTAAATGTTTAACATCTGGCTTTTGGTGGGAACAGCAGGACCGAATCCCAAGAATTTGCAGATCACCTTGATGTAAATACTCCCACCATGGCCAGTTTCAGAGTGCCAATGTATTTTCCCGGAGCGTGGTTTTAGGGAATTCCTTCATTTTCTGAAGGAATTCAGTTTGGTATTCACAACATGCCCACAGCTGGTCATCCCCATTTACAGATAGGAAACAAGGCAGAGAAATAAGACTTCTGGAAAAGTAGCTGAGGCTCGAGCCACTTCTGTGGCAAGAAGTGGTGCTGATTGGCTCTTGGGAGCCGGTCTGGAGCCAGGTGCCGTGGTGGCCACAGCTCTTTAGGCCAGCACCCAGCCTGGGACTGAGTCACACCAGGTCAGTCCATGGATGGATCAGGAAACAGTGCTGCAGCTGTTTACCTGTAAAGTGGGTGGAGGCCCCCCGTAGTTGGGAAATGGCATGATCAGGAGCCCCTGCTGCTCCCCCAAGGTTTCCAGACTCAATCCTGGTCACATCTGCTCTGTTGGGCTGCTAGCATGTGCCAGGCATAACGCGAAGCGTTTTCTGAAGGAATTCAGTTTGGTTTTCACAACATGCCCTGTTGGTCTGGTCACCCCCATTTACACATAGGAAACAAGTCAGAGAGAACAAGACTCCCGGACAAGTAGCTGGGGCTCTCACCCCAGCACCCTGCACTCACCTGCTACAGGCAGGACAGCAGTGGCTGTCTCAGGTGTCCAGGACTTTCTAGGACCCCCAGATAAGACTTTCCGTGGCTCAGGTACTTCTTCCTGTGGTTCTCCTGGGACACTCACCAATGGCTTCACCTTGACACTGGAGAGGGGCCTGGCCAAGGCCTGTGCAACTGTGATGTCCACCTGCGAGGATCTCTTATCCCTTCTGGTCCAACCTCCTCTCCTCCTCTGCCATTCCCTAAATATACCCCAAAATGTTTGGCATCTCCCCCCTGTCTTCCCAGTGTGCTCTTCAACCTTCCAGGAAACTTCCTCCCTAAATGAAAGCTGACTTCTTCCACAAAGCCCTCCTTTGGTCCCTGGGCTAAATCCATCTAATATGAATTGGGTCCCCACCCAAATCTCATGTCAAATCATAATCCTCAATGTTGGAGGTGGGGCCTGGTGGGAGGTGATTGGATCATGGGGTGAATTTCCCCTTGGGTGCTATTCTCGTGTTGCTGAATGAGTTATCACTGAGATCTGGTTAAAGTATGTAGCAGCTTCCTACTCTCTCTCTTCCTCCTGCTTCAGCCACGTAAGACGTGCCTGCTTCCCCTTCTCCTTCTTCCATAATTGTAAGTTTCCTGAGATATCCCCAGCCATGCTTCCTGTACAGCCTGCAGAACTGTGAGCCAATTAAACTCCTTTCCTTTATAAAAAATGCCCAGTTCGAAGTATTTTTTTATAGCAGTGTGAGAACAGACTGATAACACCATCCCTCCTGTGCCTGATGCATTGTGGGGTCTAACGTGTCTCACTCCCACTTGGTAGGAAGAAGTGACCAGTCAGGAACATAGAGTCTGCCTACTGGTAGAGAAGCCTCTATTTGTCTGCATGTTGGAATAAGCCCAGTACTTTAAAAAACACTAATGCCTCTGTCCCA